AGGCCCTGATCCAATACCCACTGAAGTCAATGAAAAGACTTCTATGATGCAAATGGACCTTGCAAGAAGGCCTTATTTAAATTTTATTAACTTGTCCAAAATTTACTTTTCAACAGATAATTTTCCCCTTGTTATTACTTCCATATTGACTAGTGAGTTTGAATCCACTTTGAATAAAGTCATTTATTTTTCATTTTCTTCAAACTGTAGCAGATTTTTTTAGCCTTCATCAATCAACTGACATCTGAGATTCAGTTTAAACAGCATAAAACTCCTTGCTGACAACAGGCACCTTGGTAACTGCAGGCATTAAAGTACCTCAGTGACTCAGAATGCTTTCATTTAGCACTTGGTGATTCCATGTCACAGATTCTGTACCAAATTGCAAAGATATCATGATGCTGCTAAATTCCTATTAAGGAAATGAATGGAAGTCTACTGATGAGATTACCCAAGTCTTAAAAGATGTAAGGAGGGTTCCAGAACTGAGGGACTGCCATAAACATGAATCTGCAGAAGATACAGGTCTCTGCTCTAACATACACCTCTCCATCTCAACCTCATTTCTAACACCTCCTAAAACTGTGGCATTCTGGCTTGCTGATGTCCTAAGATGTACTTGTGAGGCACCAAAAGTAAATGTCTTCTTACCTTCAGATTTGTAAAACCTGGGACCAGTTAAATCCTCACTAAATTCTCCTGGAGGAATTTTATACATTAAGTATATTAAGCGTTTGTATCTTAATTGTTTCTACATTTGACTCATGAATCACAGAATGGTTTGGTTTGAAAAGGACCTTACAGATCATCTAGATCCAACCCCCCTGCATGGGCAGGGACACCTCCCACTAGACCAGGTTTCTCCAAGCCCCATCCAACCTGGCCTTGAACACTTCCAGGGATGGGGCTTCCAGAACTTCACTGGGCAACCTGTTCAGTGTCTCACCACCATCATAGTGAAGAATTTCCTCCTAATGTCTAAGGGTAAGGAGGAGCAAGGAGGGGCATCACCACACATGGCCCAGAAGCATGACAAGACAGTGCATTTTAAAAAGTAGCAGAGTTATTATTAACATTATCAGCTTTTTGACTTTCCCAAATATAAGTACCTCACACAAATGTAGAGACAACTTCATAGAACATCTAATCTACATTTTGGACAAGTGGTCAATTGAGGATTAAAAATAAAATTGAAGTAACACAAGGTAGGCTCCATACTGAAGAATAACAGTGCAACCATAGTTTTCAGTAAAGCTTTTGATAGTTTCATTAAACCATGTATTAGATTCATGGAGCTACTGTGCCAAGGTATTAACAAACTCCACACAGCAACTGGTGGCAAATTAACACCTAATCCTTAGGAGGAACATACCCTAGTGAATGGGCCACTATGTTACAAGTAATTTCTTTCAGCCTCCCATAATGCCAGGATCAATTGCCTTCAGTTAACTCTTAACTACCAGTCAGTTCCCCATTGTACTCCAAGATAAGTCAATGTACCAGGATCACTGAATCAAGCAACAGAAACATGTAATAAATATATTCCATTAACAGTAAATTATTTTCACTGAAATGGCAAGTAAAAATAGTTGTGTACTCTGACAAATCCCTTTTTCTCCCCCTCAGAATATTTTCTGGAGGTCCCCAGTGCACTTCTAGTAACTCATTTATCTAGTTACCATATCCAATGGAGAAATTAACCTATTTTCTAAAATACCCCTTCAGTATCCAAAACAGTGGCAGTAAAAAGATGGATTAAAAATCTTATCAATCCCAATCTGAAACAAACGACCAGTTACATAGTTCTTACCCTCTGCTTTTGGCAGTATTTCTGCTCCACAAACAATACAATAAAGTCCTTTCTTGCAAGGCTGGTGGTGTGTTTCCTTCTAACAAGATAATACACAAATTCATGTAAATACTAGTTTGCATATAGTAATTATGCACATTTAAGCCTTTAAATATAAACATAGAAATATATCAAAACTGCTTCAGAGAAATATACTACTTGAAATACTCAAAGACACCTATTTAAACCAATTTTTCTATTGGCTAATAATTAAAATATATATCTTGCTAAAAATGCTTAACCTAACTTAAATAGAAAAACTTTCATGTAAAATATGAGGTATTTTATAGTCAGTAACACTGCAGGCTATCAAAGATTGAGTTTGGAATATTGCAAAGGAGCCTAGAGGATAGATGCCCAACTCGTGTTGGTTGAGTTTCAGTGTGATGATGTTCTTATACTCTGCAAATCCTGCCCTAAAAATTCCACATGAACCAGAAATTGGAAACACTGTTTATATTAAAACAGGAATCACATCTGTAATGAGTGGTGAGCTGGACTCTATGTAAATCTGTATCTGCAGCTTCTGACTTGAAAACACTCAAGCCTTTTGATTTCTTTAGGGAACCAAAGCTACCTACAGAGTACAAAAAGACCTAGGGCAAATCATTCAGACCATGAATAAACTGTTTATTTCCCTTAGAAGATGATATACTAAAGCTTTCTTATATCCCCTGCACCTTAACATTCACCAACAGCCTCTCCAAACAAGGTACTTTACCCACAGGGTACCTTTCTTTTGCAGGTGTAGCCACTTTGCCTAACTGTAGCTTTTCTTCGTCTGCACCGCCTCTGAACTTTCAATCCTTTAATAAATTCAAGATTTTATTATTAATTTTAGGCAGGAGAGATCATACTCTAGCCACTACATAAAAAAAAAAGATGAATTATTAATAATTCAGCTTTTATAGATTTGGGAAGTCCAAACAAGTAATTCTAGGAAATTTGGTACATTGGCTTCACTTCCCTTCAATTTGCAGGCAGCAGGGGATTCAATTTAATATTGGAAATCCCTATAAATATATTAACTATAGAAATAAAGAATATTCTTACCACTAGCATATTAAATACCATAGTTAGTTAGATACAAAGACAAATTCAGATGGAATTTACACAGCTTTTACACCAAAAGAAACTATCCATCCCTTACCCCCCCAAAACCAGGAGTAATACAAAGAATTGTTATATAATCACAGAACATATTCTCTACCAGTTGTTCCAAGCAACAGGTCTGGATTTGGGTTTACTGAACTGGGGGATAGAAACTTTTCAAGAAAATTCTAGCACCTAGTGGGCCAAATACTGATATTTCAATACACATTCTAGAAAATAATGGTTGAGGAGTAATTTTATATAAAATGTAGCTGCTGTAAATGAATGCAAAATATTTGACATGAGGAAAGCCATGTCTTAAAGGATTTCTGATCAAAGTAAGATGCAACACAAGATCAAGCAAGGAACAATCTGCTCCAGAGAAGGAAAGGAAGGTGGATTTTTTGTATTCCATGTTATGGATTTGAGGACAGACAAATCTTCTGAAAGACAAACAAGGGATAGTGGTCTACGAGATGAGCAGACAAGCCACAAAGCTTAAGTGATTTCTGTCACCTATTTAGATGTACATAAACATAAAAAATGGTTTGGCACAGAAAACTTGCTTTAAGAAAAGAGTTATTTAAGGCTCAGCAGTTATTTAAGACTCAGCAGGATGGAGCTGATCAGCTCTTGGGAGTGTGGCTGGGAAAAAACTGCCTCAGCATTTCCTGTGGGATACAGGACACTTTGAGGCCAGAAACCAGTCACAAACAGAATTTGCCTGCCCTACACTAAGCCCCAACAATCAATCAATTACTTGAATCTAAATTAAGCATTTTTATCTTTAGATGTGTCATACATTTCAACTGCTGCCTACATCAGAGCTTGCTTCTGCCCTATCAACCAGTTCAAAACCATCCAATGATACACTGAACACCAGGAATCTAAACCAAGAAAACACGATCCTTTGTGGCATCACAATAACAAAAAGTTTAACTAAATCCCTTATCCTAAGCACTGCAAGAAAAGAGTATGTAATTTTACAAAGATGCATGTACTGTGCAATGAAAGGATACAATTTAAACCCTATTGATAGGAACACACAGCTCTGCAGAGGTGGGCATCAGACTGTTACTTAGATGAACTTCTATGGAAAATGACAAACTAACAATTTCATCTCTGCTCTCAGGCAGAGATGATCCAGTCTTAAGATGGTAAATATCCTGCACCTTCTTCACATTCATGTGTGATGGAAATGAACAACCTGTTCTTGACAAGTCAGGGGTAGTATGTTTTATTACAGCAAAATCCTGGCTGTTATGAATGCAGTAAGTGAAAGAAATGTTTGAAATACTTAAAAAAAAATAAACTGGGGAAGATTTAAAGACCTTTATGTACAAATTTACATTGTTATATATTGCACAGAGAATGAGTTTCTAGGGCACAAGTGAGTACATGTTTTGATACTAATACATACAGAGCCCGGCCAAAAGAAATCAGATCCTCTCACGAAAGAAAACTTTAAAGAAACCTCAACTTTCATATAAAACAAAGACTTCTCATCATAAGCAAAGATCAAAATGTTGAAATACTACTATATTGCTACACAGCTTCTGATAGACATTTTGACAGAAGAAACTGGAGAGAAACAAACCACTGAAGGACACACCTACTTCAGTATCTAAATTCAATCTATCATATGACTTGGTCTGCAAAGATTCTGTTCTGCATATTTAATTTTTTAAAAGAAAAGCTCTACAAAATGCAGAAAAACATGATTTGATGATGCAGGTGTTTTCTTTCTGCAAAAAAAAATCTGTTTGTATTCAATGGCAGATTAATTACATCTATAACAAACCTCTTCAGCCTATAATCACAAGTCAAATTCAACTTGGGCTTCCATTTGATGTTCTTTTGCCACACATTTATGGATGAAGAATTTTAATTATACCTGTAGAAAACTGCATCTTGATTAACTTTCACAGTGCAAAACAAAGAAGTAAAATGAAAAATGGAGTCTGACAGTAGTACATACTAGATGAGACTAGAGAGCCACCACTGATCTACAGTGAGACTGTGTTGTACAGGCTGCTCACTGCCTGTGCTACAGAAGCTGTCATTGTGTGCTAGGACTGTTCAATAGAAAAGATGATACACCTTTATTTCTTGATCTGGAAAGGCTGATTTTGTGTTTTTTGGTGTCCACCTCTTGAGAGGCTATCTGCTCTGCTTCTATTTCACTAATCATCTCTACATTAGTAACTGCACTAGTTCCCCCATTTTGCATTTTTCCATGTAAACTTGTGCTTCTGCCACCATCATCAATCTTATTTTTAGTCACACTGAGTGTTTCTGAGGTGTTGACTGCAAGATGATTAACGGTCACTATGGAGTTTCCACATTCAACCTGATTCTCATTTATATCACAGGCTGGAACCAGTGATCTGATTTTCTCTTCCTCTGGTTCTTCATCATCATAGAGTTCTGGTGTGAAGTAGATACTCTCATCCTCATCCTCTGCAGATACATTTAGGTTTGAAAGTTCAGATTTCCCTGCTGCTGAAGGAAACTCTCTGCAGGGCTCAACTTGAAGCTGTAGCTGATCAGGATGCTCTTCAGCAACTGCAACCTCAGTATTTTTAACTGAAAAATTCATTGTTTCCAAACATGATTCTGGTACACTGGGTTGATGTTCCAAAATTAATGACTGGCATTGATTTACACTATCAGTAAGTTCACTTGGCCTCTTCACATTATTTTCTTTGCTACCAGCTGTGGATGTGCAGTTCTTGGCTACAGGCAATGGTGTTGAAGCCAGTGGTGTAAAGCAGCAACCTTCTTTCACAACAGCAGCATTAGTCCAACCATTCTCTTTCTCCCTCTCTACTTTAGTTGCTGATATTTTGGGTGTGGAGTCCATATGTTTTCTTCTTTGTGTTACATGGTGAGAACGACTCTTTACATCAACTTTCCGGCCACCTGTGAAAAATCACCAAACACTGATTAACTGTACCTGCCTTCCCTCTGCTGATGTACAGCATGTTTAGCACATAAGAATGACCACTGTTACATTACATTTCCAGTTATTTTATAATACTTAAGATCCCACACAAACAAAAGCCCAGATGTTACAACTACCTTTGTACATGAATTGTCTTAATTTAATTAATAGATTAACTGTCACATGTAAAGCCAGGGTAAAGTATAACTGCATTTAAATTTTGTAGGTTTCATTATTGTCCTTTTATGTTACTTAACAGCTTTCTTGCCTGAAATGAAGCCATCAGCTGTCCCAGAATTTTGAAAGCTAACATTTGTAAATTTGGGATGAAAAGAGGTTATTTGAAAGGTGTCTCCCAACAACATCTAAACAACAGATGTAGCTCTGAACCAAGACACTCATCTTGCAATAATGCTAATCTTCATATGTTTTAAATGTATTTTAAATTATCTTCATACTTTCCAATGGAAAAAGTAATTTAAGCAAAACCATTTTTGACTGTATTAGAAACTTCCAAATATTATCAATTGCTTTAAGACAACCAGATGGAATGACAATTAATTACAGTCTGTTGAGCACAGCTCATACACATTTGTGAATAATTACCACCTTGCACCATAGCACTTCTGTCATTTTAAAACCCACTTGTTTCTTCCAAAAAAATAAAAGATGCAACTTCACATGTAAAATTGTTAATGAAGATTTTTCTATGGGAATTTAACATACTTTGTTTCATTGTTGCCATGATGTTACTTGGCTGATTTGATGCTGTAGGTTTATCTGAGCTGATGGTTCTAGTAAAATGAACTTCTGAGACCAAATTTTGTTCTTCACTTTTTGCAGGAACATCTGGTGACAGATGAATTGTTGCCTCCTGTTGTGAGCCTTGTGACAGGTCTTTTGAATGTGAAGGTGCCTGATGAAATTCACTGCTGGACTCTGATGAACAATCAATGCCTTTCAGGTTTCTTCTAGCAAATGCCTGCAGGGATTCAAGTGCACTGCCAAACTTTTCATGGTGCTGGATTTGTTGACGAATCCATTTGGATAATCCTAGGGAAAAAACATATGGTACCACAGAACTACATCACCTACAGCAGGTATTACACATCAGCAAATAGTACTCCAATATCTTCTTCTACATACGTCTAGTCTACACAGATCCAAAAAGACTTCAAGAAGTAGCTCACGAAGGTCAGAAACAATTATATCTTCCTTTCCAGTGCTGGGAACTTGACTTAATCAATGGTACTTATCTGTTGATAAGTAATACTAACAGTATTCAAAAACTTCTACCTCTTCCACTAATACTTTAAGTTCAAACTGTTGCACTGCAGAAACACCATTATACTTTATGTCTGAATGTTTTGCTTGTTACCATGAATTATTAAAAAGCAACTTACATGGAATACAGCTATTTATTATCATACTGAGAGGGTCTGACAAAAAACAGAATGAAGCTTTTCCACTTTTATTAACAGTAACTGAGATATTCAGAAATAATTTAAAGTGCCCAAAAGCCAAAACATAATGCAGTATGCTCTTATAGTGCAGCAATTTTTAAAATTCTCACATACCAGATGTCTTGAGCATAACAGGGTTAAGATGGTGTTGGAACACACAAGAGTGAGGGGTAAAATACTTTTTTTTTAATTTAAAAAAAGTGTTACTCCCATCTAAATACTATTTTAATAACAATATTTAAAAAACAGAACTTTATTTTTCTGTGAAGTTTTACATTTTAGAAAAAACATTAATCTTACAAAATCTTGAACATACAGATTATTGGTATTAGTATATGGCTTATCTTTGTTTGCTTAGATAATTTACATGTATTTTTAGAACAGACATGTCAGAAAATGGTTTGACTTGTACTACAGCAGCTGAGCTCCACCTGCTGACTACACAGCAACATTGTCTGTTTACATCATCTTTTTGCCCATCTTTCTAAACACAGCAGGAACCAAGATACATAAAGCATTCCTAAGCAATTTCTTTCTTCTTTTTTTTCATAAATTTGTATTTATTTGTTAAGATAGTGTCCATGACCTGTTTTATTTTCTCTTCCAGTTTGGCACAGTGAGCATTTAGTTATTCCATAACAGGAAAGGCACAACCTTTACCTGTTCTTACCTAAAAACCCAGAATGTTACAACTCAGACTACTGTTACTAATAATTAAAGCTCCTTATAGGCAAGTACAAATTAATGAGACTTATCTAAAGTCCAAATAAAAATCTAATAACTACTTTCTGAAACACATGCATATATATACACACATGCACATGTCTATATACGTTAGATGTATTTACTATGCAAAGATTAAGAGTCTTTTTATAGGTTGCATTTTAAGAAACGAATGCTCAAATTCTGCATACTGAAATGTGTTGTATCATGATCTGCATATCCAAAAGGGCAAAGAAATTAACATGACTGAACCCTGGTATCAATGAGTTTCAGTGTATTTAATGAACTACAACACCCCAGGGTACAGTTTGAGAGTTTGCAGTTTGAACTGCACAATTTCAGTTTAATGGGTAAATTTCATGACAACTTTTCCTAATCATCTCTATTTCTATAACCATATTTCTGTCACCTGGATCTTTCACTAATTGCTCATATTAGGAACTTTCCCAGAGAAAACTGGTACAACTTACCAGTGATGTATTTATTAGGGTTATTCCGAAACCGATCATCCACTAAAATAAGAGCTCCCCAGTCATTCCTGTGCCTTATACACCTGTAAGAGAGCAACAAAAATGTATATATAATTAGAAAGTACAGAATAAAACCTGTAAGGGTCAGACAACAGGGACTGCAATGAGTCAGCTGGAATATGTGAACACACACAGGAAGTGCTTTCCTATTATCTTGCACCAAAAAATGTCGTAGGTGTTATGGAAGTTTTATTTTCCTTCAGTTCTTGAATTTATTATATGAAAATAGGTAAACTAAAAAAAAAAAACTTCACACAAATATTCAGCAGCTAATCAAACCACTCTTAACTGGGTAAACAGTGAAAGGAGAACATGTAGAAAGTAGAAAAGAAAATGGACTGATGTAGCAAGTAGCTTTTAAATAACTGCACTTTTTTTGTTTCTAAACCACATTATTCCTAACTCTTTAGTAACAAAATTAATGCTACAGATCAAAGCTGTGAGTGATACTGTTGAGCTCATAATTCAGTTGTTTGAGGCCTAGAGAAATAATTCAATACTTACTTTACACGTGTTACTATTTTTAACATTACTTGGATTTCTGTACTGCCTGCCAGAAAAAAAAATTACAGAAGAGTGAAAACATCTAGGAAACATGGAAAAGAGTCTGTCAGTAACAGTCTAGGATTATTATTCCCTGTTACTTAAGAAGACAGCAACTTTTGAAGATGTTTTTACAAATGTACATAAAAGCACAGGTGTATCAGAGTCAGGGCTTGAAATGGGAGTGACATGTCTGGCTCTCCAAAGAAATATTTATTTATATTTGAAGTCTCTTCATGAGAAGAAATGCTACAGAGATGTCTTTAAGAAACATTTCTTCCAACTTCTCATTTTTTTCATTGCTTTAATAAACTTTCTTTTAACTCACAGTTTAAACAAATTGCACCCACTGGAAACACCCTACACTTTTAGGAGAAGTAGCTCTGCAAGGAATTCACAGTGTGATTGTCACCTGGCCACACACACCACCTGCTGTACTCCCAAAGGTTGCTATTTCATTTCATGGACTTGTGTAACTTCATACAATGTAACAGCACTCCATGAAAAGTGCCAGACTGAAGCCTTGCGTGCTCCTGCTCACTTCTCTCCCTGCAGGCATCTTGGCAGTAAGAACCTTCCCTATCTACTATGCAGCTTAGTATCAACTTAGTAGACTGCTCTGGTGTTATAAAAATTGTCATTCTTTGCCAAACCTCAGTGTAGTAGGAGCATAGTCTGATGGCTTTATACAAAATTGGTACACTTACGTCACAATGGAAGTCTATTTTCCACTTAAGTTTAGAACAGCATAATTTCACTCAAATGATATAATAATATGACATAATGATATAATAAGTAATTTTCACTATCATCAGATTCAAGTTAAAACTTATTTCACAGTGACAAAACTTCCAATTAATTTCTCACTATTAGCATTCCACCATTTTCTTGGATTTTTCTTAATAAATTCAAACTAATGCACTTACTCTCCAAAGAAGAATCTGAGAAATGAGACAATAAGAAGTTATGTGATTTTACTACAGAGATGATTTCCTCTCAGTTTTCTCTCTAAACCTTCATTTATGCCATAACATCTGTATTAGGTCTCACTCAAAAAACCCAGTTTTCTAGCTGATGTTTCTCTTATCTATAAATCTGTGTCTGTATCTCTGTGGCAGGCGTATGGCATCTGACAGAAAGCTATAACTACATATATAATTTTGTTTGAGACAGATGAATTAATGATATCCTGTTAATAAAATTGGGAGGAATTTTTTTCATTTGAGGAAGTAAAGCTTCACCACTCCTTCTAAATCTGGGAAGAGATCAGTGAGCGTGATAATTGAATTGACCTTTTGCAAAGGTCTGAGAAAAAAAAATGCTGCTATTTCTCCCTTTCAAAAACACTTGTAGCCTGAACATCAAACCAGCATTCTGAGCCCACTGAGACTGTGAACCATTTAGTACATTTGAAAAGATCTAAGAATTCCCATTTGGTTGACAAGCTGAAGAACTATTTGTGTCTGCAAATGCTTTCCTTTCTGTACAGCTGGACTACAAGCAAGAAAACCTACAAATGAACTAAAGTGGATTGTGAATATAAAACAAAAACTGTGAATTATAACAGTGCTCAACTGCACAACAGACTGAAAACCAGACAATTGCCAGTACAGAACAGCTGAGGACCTGATTTCTGCAATAAGTTTTTGGCCTGATTGATCCTCTTTGTATTAACAGTGAGGAATGAATGTCTAAAGATGCCATGAAAAGAAAAAACTTCTACAAATATATATATATATATAAATAATCATGTTCAGTTTATCTCACCTTCCCAAGGCTTGGTTGAGAGCTCTATAAGCTTGGATTTCATACCACTGACTCCCTGGTAAAAGGCCTCTTGTATTTTTGTGCTGGTCATTGTACTTTCTCTTTAATTCAACCTAGGAAAGAAATAACAAAATACATGTTGCCAATGAAATATTCTAAAAGGAGAAAGCAATTTCTTAACAAATTAAATAACTGAATATGAAGAGTGTGCCTCAGCATTTCAGCTTTGTATTTTGCATACTAATCAATTATGGCTTTTACCCTCCTAAAGTTATTCTTAACATATGATCTATTCCAGAAATTTATATGTTCTAACAGAACAACCACACACTTACCCAAATGTCTGTGCTAGCAAGAGAGGGATTAGCTGTTCACACAGGCAAAAAAAAAAATAAATATCCAGATACAAGGAAATGGACTAAATAGGCTTCAGTTTTATTTGCCCATCTGAAACTAAATGATGCAATGGAGATGTTTAGCCTTTATCAGAATCCCTGCCTTCTAACCAGAAGCTGGGACCAGACTATACAAGTGAGGTTTAAGCAAATATCACCCCTTCTACAGAAGCTAAGAAAGAACTTGAGAGACAGAGCGGCCTTGCCAGAGTATCAGAATTCAGCAACACCTACTCTATTTCCTAGCTTGGCATCACCTTTCGTGGCTTGGAAACATTTCACCGGCTAAATGTGAAGCAAAGGCAGCAGCTCAGGTTTGCAGGCCCATGGCATGAGAAAGAAAAGAACACTCTCCTTTCTAATATTGCTCTTCCCTACCTGCTTCAAAAGCAGAACCAGTGTCAACTGCAAAAGAAATCTCCTGCCATCCCTTTCTAATCATGTGGATAACTACACATGTATTGCCTGATCTGAATTGGAGCAAGAATATGTATTTGGACATTGGATAAGGTTCCAACATATATCAAAAGATTTTATTATTATTAGGATGGGGAAAGTGAGCATTGTTGGTTTTTTTTCAAATAAACAAACAAAAATACACCAGAAATGGTCTTTTCATTGCTCTTTTGTACAGTGTTAACCTTTCTAAACTGACAAGTGAAAGGACACGCTTCAGGAGAGAAAACAGCAGACTTCTAACCTCTTCTGACAGGTAACTTTCAAGTTGCATTTGGATAAGAAAATATATTTTTTTGTACTTATGCCCTTTAAATTGCCTGTCAAATTTACAAATTCAATCTTTACTGCCAGAAAGTAAATTCAGTTTGATTTCACAGATTCAATATTTGTCCCAGTCACTCAGAATGTATTGACTGTCATGTGAGGTTTCCCTTGTAATTTCCAAAACAGAGGATGACTCCTGAACATTTTTATTAACATAAAAACATTCTTTAAAAAGGAGCTTCTGTATATCTGTGCATTTCTACAAGAGGAAATACTACCTGAAGGAACAGATGAGAACTCTTCACCATTTGAAATTAGGTACGATGTCAGAAAATTTCACTGAAGTCTTTAAAACATCACTAACAACAATATACTTCTGTTCACACTTTGCATTCCTGGTAAGTTTCCTAACAATCACCTCTTTTGAAGATTTTTCGGTATCAGTAAGATTTTGGCCAATTATAACACATGTAGGTTTGCCACAGTTTTTTACTTTGCTAGCAGTGTTAAAAGGAATAAACTAGAATAAACTACTTGTGCGTCTTACACTGAAAATAGACATTATTAATTATGTGCAAAAAACCACTGAAGTAACAGAACCAAACCAGTCAGATTTGTATTGTAATGCATTACCCTATCAATAAAATCCATTACTTATGCATTCTTCTGATACATGTCAGCATTATGCAGATCTATACTGCTTGTACTACACATCAACTACATTTCATTTCTCAAATTATATATAAACACATTTATCTTGGTCTAAGAGAATGTATCTTTAAAACCTTGTTTCTATCCTCATTTTAAAAAAGGGTTATCAGAAAATAACCATTCTGTTTTCTCACTTAAACCATCATGTCTCAGCATGAGATGACAACTAACATTGCTGGGAGTTCAGTTTTCATTTTAAGTCTACCAAAGGTAAAAGGCCAGGGCATGTCATTTTAATGCCACCGGAATCTATTTCATTGTATAACTCTTACATTATCAAGCATCAAATCAACGCCCAATTCAAAATGACATGTTACATATGTGAAAAAGGCAGTCTCTCCTGCTAGCAAATATCCTGGATGTGCAGGAAACCACAGGCTAGAAGGGATTAGTTAAAATGTCAAAAGACAGCCTTTTACTTTTACCTGTTCATCCGTCAAAATATACTCTTAGCTATCAGGCATGCTTTACAGACAAATAGCTTCAGCAAGCACGCAGCAGAAGGCCCGTGGCAACCTCTGCCATCTTGTAGCTGTCAGACAGATTAGTCTTTGATCTGTCTGGGAGGTCATGGTCACATTCCCATTAACTGAAGTCTCACAGCATTATACCTGCTAAGTGCTCGTTCTTTTAATGCTTCATTAGTTCAACATCTTTCATTATGGAATATTAACTGAGAAACAGCAAGAAAAAGCAGTGCCATGAACAAATATATATTTTAATTACTTGGAAAAATATTTTGAGGCAGTTTCTGCTGGAGTTCAAAAGAATTCCCAAGTGTATTTTCAATCAAAATTAGCAATACAAGTTTTTCTTTGACAACGTTTTAACAACATTGACAACAATTACACAACATTCATTATATTAGATTTTAAGTGATGGATAAAACATAACAAAAAAAAATTTACCTGCAGTAACATTGCTTCACACGAAGAAACTAAGACTTATTCAGGATTCAAGAGATAAATAACTGCAAAAAGTGGATTTATACTGTGATGACCATAAACTGCATCAGTCAGCTTATAGCACAAAGCTCAGAAGACTAACCTAAAAACAGAGCTCGTTTTTGAAACTCAAAATAACCTGCAATACTAGATACAGAAGACTGCAGCAACTCCTAGAACATGCCAGCTTGAACCAAATGTATTCAAAATTAACAAAACCACAGCTGTATTTAACAGCAAGATACATAAATGGCAATCTATTATCAACTATTTGCTTCTACCAAAAAATCAATGCTTGGACAACTGAATTAAAGCACCATTTTCTTCTTTGAATTATTTCCATTCAGTAAATATAAAGCTTCTCCTTGTTTTGCAGTTGTAATTACAACAGAGGTAAGGAAACGTGAGACTATTTTAGGTACCTGCAGCTAAAGATCTGCACAGCATCCTACATCCTAATTTACCTGTTAAGAAGTTTTAAGAAGAAAGGATTTAACCTATAAAGAATAAAATCTACTGTGCTACACAACTGTGTAGATGGTCCAGCATACACTCATTCAGAAATACTTGAGCTCAGCAAAAGAACAGAACTTTGGACCCAAAGAGCAAATCTTGGCAGGACTGGAGAATGTGCATTTGGGGCACTGACGACTCACAATCACAATACTGTAAACTTATTTAACAGGGCCAGTACCACAATATGAAGGCTGAAAAGGTTAAGCCACAGAATACAATTTTTTATTTAGCGTGATTAAAATCAGCAAAATCAACTGTGTTCAGTTTTAGTTCATCTAGCAAAGTTTGGAGATTTTCATAGATGCATTACTTAACCAAATGCAGGGCTGCACCTTGCTTTATAAAAACAAACAACCAAAGCCCAAGCTGTTACTAACAGTTAAATAGCAAGGCCTGTTCTTTGACATGACATCATAAACATCTTCAATCATCTCTTGTGCTCACTGGTAGATTAAAAATGACCTCCAGTTTGTAACCTGTGGGATTACAAACCAGATTACCCAGGAATCTAAAGACAAGACAGAAACTCATGAATACAATGACACTATTGAGAGCATTTAAACCAAGCACTCCTCTAAACCTGCATTTCTCTTCACATCAGCACTTAGCAGAGTTGTGACAGCCTGGGTTAAATAGACAACTCCTGAAAGGAAAAAGGCAAGGAAGCTTGGAACTGTGTCAGTACACACACACACTTGTATGTAGGCACAAGTGTACACACAAGTGTAAACTCATGCCCTTCACTCCCCAACAGTCTCCTCCATGGAAATAAAAAAAATAATAATAATCAGAAAATGGATATAAACGTTTTCTGGCACTCCACTGGCTTGTTTCTGTGGTTTTATGAGAGGAAAAATGGTAATGAAAACAAAGACTTTTGCTCATATTATCCAAAAAACTTTAAAAAACACATTCATGTTTAACATCTACTAGTTCCTCACCTCCTAAAAACAAACAAGCAAAAAATAACAGGTGGTCATTCCTCGCTTCTATCCCCACAAAAGACATAAAAAGGGGTTTTAAGCAAATCTACCATCCTAAAAATCTCATGTGTCCACTTAGAGTCTCTTTTACACCTGAAATAGCAATAATTAAAATTCTCCAAGAACATACTTGCCATCTACTTTCCTCCTGACAAATGCCAAGTAATCATAAAAGATTGTAAGTGCAGGAAAGTAAAACACATGAAACCCCATTTCTTTTCTTTCACATCTGAAAATCCTTAAATGGAAGTAGCATTAAATAGTTCAGCATTTAACTTTCCCCCCCTCACTTCAAAAGCAGTAACAACATCCATGAGATTTAAGACTAAATAATGCACGTGTAAAGACCTGGGTGAGTCACAGAGTGTGCTTCAAACATCCTCACTCCTCAGCAGAACTGCTAAAAGCTGTGTTTAAACACAATGTCTCCATTTATTAGCCCCCAGGAAAAAAATAAGTTACTATTGCAGGACATTATCTTTAAATGCTCCAAGTGTTTCCAGTGCAGTGTTAATATATATAAACCAGTCTGAGATAAGCAAATGCTTATTACCTGCAATTTATTAAACTAGATTCTGTATATGACATTGATTTGTTAAGGTCATTCTAACCATCTCATATACCTTTAGGTCACATTTCAATATAAAACTCTCTTCTGCTTTCACACACAAATATTTTATTTCTTTTAAAACCCAACAAAACTGTGAGCACAGCACTACCATATATACTGGGAATAAGACATTACCAGCTAGTCACTTGGTCAATACCTTGCTCAGTTACCTTCAAGATGCTCTGTTACACAGCTCCATCCCACACTCTACCAGACCAATCACTGAAGCTG